AGGAAAAATATGCTTAAGGACATTGAATAACAAATAATCGAGTATCACAAAGTATCTCAATCAACAGATACAAATAACATATTTGCATATCACACGCCATGCAGAATTTTAAAACCGATCTGACACCTCACCAATCATCCCACCTCAACTCGATCCCACGGGTGTCTTGGTTGGCGATGCACCGGCTATTGGTTGTCACGATCCCGTCTCAATATCCGCAGAACACGATTAATGAGATCAAGAACACGATCAATGAGATCAAAATACTCAACGATATTCAATCGAAATTCCAAAATAATGATAGTACAAGTTGGAATACAAATCAAAGGATAATCAAAGAAATACTCGTTGCAAAGAGATTTAAAGATAGCATATTGTATACCACCCCATACTTCAGAATCATTATTTGAATTCGATAACTCTGATTTTCATTTCATTCTTCTTATTTTCGGGTAGCCCTCTACTTCCCATTTTCCTCTTCTTTGTTTCTGCCAAACAGCTCCTTGTCTGTCTCTCGGTTTATCTTTGAAGACCTCCTCCACTTTCTTTTATTTTTGGCTATATTTATATGCTAGGAAGGTGGTACGTCTTATGCCAAATTAATTGGCAAGTGTTGAAAAAAAATTTCCACGACTTTTTGCTGAAATCTCATTTCTTTATTCTTTCTCTCTCTTTTTTTGTCTTGTCTCTCTTCTTTTTTTTTTCAAAGTCTTCACGCGGGTGGAGACCAAATATGTATAAATGTTAAGATATTTATACTTTACTCCCCTTTATTTCACTTATTATATATATCAATCACAAAACTTAACTATTCCTTATACTTTCACATCAAAACTCATAATATTTTACACTTAAACTACTTCTAAAAATTTGGGATCTCACAATCTACCCTCCTTAAAAGAATTTCGTCCCAAAATTCCTTAGTTCACCAAGAATCCCAAAATTTGTTGGGTGCAAAGTGTAAAATGAGAAAAAAAAAAGAATATAAAGTATTTATAGTTCAAAAGAAAGGGGTGTTATTGAATTTTTTCTCAATAAAGGTGTAATTACATTTATTTTCTCTCAATTCACTAAACCGAAAGTCTCTCTTTTTTTTTTTTTTTTTGTCCTCGTTGTTTGATCTCACAACGAAAACACAGTGAACTCATTTTCCACAAATCTCATATAAGATTTGAAGTCTAAGCTCTGATACCACTTGTAATGCCCCGATTTTTTTTCATTCTTTTCGGAGACGTTAATTGATATAAAAACACTCAAATAAAAATAACAGAGCACTAATTGTCCCAATTAAATTTTATTTATCAAAATTATCTCCCAATACAAATAAATCTCTTAACAGGATTAAAACATCAAATCCATCGAAATCTCCTCGTCTTTAATACTCTGATTATCTCGTTCCGATATTTTCTCTAAAATCAATTTGAAAATATTAAATAAAGCGGGAAAGTATACAATATGACCAGGAAAAATATGCTTAAGGACACTGAATAATAAATAATCGAGTACCACAAAGTATCTCAATCAACAGATACACATAGCATATTTGCATATCACACGCCATGCAGAATTTTAAAACCGATCTGACACCTCACCAATCATCCCACCTCAACTCGATCCCACGGGTGTCTTGGTTGGCGATGCACCGGCTATTGGTTGTCACGATCCCGTCTCAATATCCACAGAACACGATTAATGAGATCAAGAACACGATCAATGAGATCAAAATACTCAACGATATTCAATCGAAATTCCAAAATAATGATAGTACAAGTTGGAATACAAATCAAAGGATAATCAAATAAATACTCTTTGCAAAGAGATTTAAAGATATCATATTGTATACCACCCCATACTTCAGATAACTCTGATTTCCATTTCATTCTTCTTATTTTCGGGTAGCCCTCTACTTCCTATTTGCCTCTTCTTTGTTTCTGCCAGACAACTCCCTGTCTATCTCTCAGTTTATCTTTGAAGACCTCCTCCACTTTCTTTTATTTTTGGCTATCTTTATATGCTAGGGAGGTGGGACGTCTTATACCAAATTAATTGGCAAGTGTTGAAAAAAAATTTCCACGACTTTTTGCTGAAATCTCATTTCTTTATTCTTTCTCTCTCTTTCTTTATCTTGTCTCTCTTCTTTTTTTTTTCAAAGTCTTCACGCGGGTGGAGACCAAATATGTATAAATGTTAAGATATTTATACTTTACTCCCCTTTATTTCACTTATTATATATATCAATCACAAAACTTAACTATTCCTTATACTTTATATCAAAACTCATAATATTTTACACTTAAACTACTTCTAAAAATTTGGGATCTCACAGGGTTGGGTTGAATTGGGTTGGATGTGATAGTTGAGTTGGGTTAAGTTGAATGAGATGGATTTAGGGAGAAAATATATGGACTTTTGAATTTGAATTAGATGTATTGTGAGTCTTTGGATGTTGAAACTTTTGGATGAATGAAGACCGCACAATCGGCTTATTGAAGCCCCACTCTGTTTTATATTATAGATAAGACAAAAAACTACTAATAATTATAATATATTCATGGATCTTATATGTATATGTATTGCATATCAAATATGGATATGAATAAGATTAAATGTTGAATTTCATCTTTGTAAAGAAATATTTCAGTTTGAAAGAGTTTAAAAAAGTCAATCTAAACCCTTCCAAAAAATTTATCCAAATAAACGCTAAAAATACGGTCCTAAATATATTTTTTTCGGTGGCATAGACAACTCTCATCATGTTATTTAATACCTTGAATGTCCTATGTTTTGTCTCGCACGA